GCTTGGACCATGTCGGATCGGACCCCGCTACCCTACCGGCGAGGCACCGCGGGCTAGGCTGGGCTGGATGGGGACCATCCCGCTTTTTCTTGCATTCCCATCTCCAGCCTTGCAGCTCGAGGACATCAGCCGTGACATTTCACCGACATTGCCAATCGTCGTCCACACTGCTGTCACGATGGCGGCCCCCAACGACCAATTCTACCTCCGCTACTAGTATGCAGCCAGAGCTTTGCACTATACCAGGCATCAATCAATGCTAATCGAGATGCAGCTCCGGTCACTCTGGACGATTCGGACACGAGTTCTTGGGTAACACCGAATCCCAACCCCACTATCCGGTTCTTCGAGCAGCTTTCTGACGTTATTACCACCAGAGTTCGACTTCCGTGTCGTTGGCGATGGACGAAGCGCAGTTGCGCGTTATGCGAACAACTCCAACTACCGAAATGATAGTCTGATTCGTAAAGAGAGTACGGCGCCTTTCCCCTAATCCACGGCGAGCATCACTAATGGCAACATGTAGTGTGCGTCAGCGCTCTCATTGTCGACGAGATCAAGCGCATCATCAAGACGAGCGAGATCCTGAAGTACGATACCCGATAGCAACCAGCCCCGGATATACGCTGACATACAGGGTGAAGGGAAGATGACTCAAAGTGGCCGCAAAAGAACAAGGACGGACGTCAGGAGTTGGAGATTCGGCTGGGCAATGACCACATCTCCTTTGAGGTGGGTTGAACGCGACTTTGTTGGACTCGGAGCCTCGGACTGACTGACGTGTTTCGAATAGACGGCCAAGATCGGCTCACTGGTTGACGTGACAGAGTCCGCCGACCCTGAGGGTCTGCGCGTCTTCTACTACCTGGTGCAGGACCTGAAGGCGCTGGTGTTCAGCTTGATTGCGCTGCACTTCAAGATTAAGCCCATCTAGAAGGGGACAAGTCGGAGAAGAAGAAGGCGTTGGGCTAATTTGGGCGGCAAACGACAAAATACTTGGAGATACCCCGGAGGACTGGGCCCGCAGCTGTTCTCCTTCCCCCTGCGAGAACGCTACGAGCCGGCCACGAGAACGTACCATGACGAATGAGCCCGCATATGACCTGCGGAACGAATATTGTTTTCTAGAAAAAATGCATGATGCTGCAAGTCGGGTGCGTGGTGGAGGGGTCTTGGGCCCTTCAGCTCAGACAACGAGCTGGCGAACGGACAGACGGGCAGGCGAGAAACTAGACAGCCCTGCTGGTCGTTCCTCATACGAGGTCAGACTCGGGGAGACCAGACTGCATGGCTCCTGGTCATGTGTAGTGAGGGGAAAAAATAACGAGATACGGTTTTCACTATTGATGCACGCACGCGCCCCCTATTTTGATGGTGTTTTTTGAGGTTGAGTGTTGACGATGGTGATGTGTACAAGACTGAGAGACGAGGAAGAGTTTATTTTTCAAGGTGGCATGCGGCCCGCTGTCCAAAGAATTTCACACTTGTTGTTCGGTCAGTTTTGTCTTCATGGGACCGCCGCGCTTGGTTCGGGGATAGAGGTGGTGCGGTTTGCAGACAATGCCAACAGTTCGAGTCAGTCTCTTCGCAACGGCGCATTTATACCAGGCAAAGGCGTGTTACAGAGCACGCGAGCTGGGACCAACAGCGGTGTCTTTTCTCGGGCTAACCATACTGATTGACGGACAGAACCCAGCAGGGTGAAGGGCCATTGAGGCGTGACGGGAAGAAGCCGGTACCTGGGGTTCGGATCGCGCCAAAAGGGGGGAGCATGGAAGGAAGGTGTAAAATTCGATGATGCGGCGTTGAACGGCGACGCCGATCCCAGGTCGTCTTTTATGCGATGAATGTGTATGATGACTACCTGTTTGCAACTAGAGACACATGCCATTGAGCATACCAAACGTGAAAGCTGACCCAAGCTCTTCCCCTGGAAAGTGTCGAAGTATTAAAAGGGCACGGGAGGAAGGTAAGTTCACCGATGCAAGGTGAGACTGGGAGAACCCGTACTCACAGACAGTATCAACAGTGCAATGAAGAATGCGAGTTCCAAAAGAGAATTACGGATGGTGACAGGGAGTTACTTGGTCGGAGAATATGACCGGAATCTCAAGTGTAAGGTTAGGGATGGATGAATAGAGTGAGTGTTAATCTGCACAGCCCTTCTTTCAACATGAGGCTGAGGCTTAGACGTGGGAGATGGGGCGGGTAAGGTGAGCTCTTCTACCCTCTTGAAAGTCTGGAAAGTCTGGAGGTTCAATTCTTGAGTCACCGGGGACAAGGGCCGGTGGGAGTAAGGAACATAGAGTTAAAGAGGCGAGACGACTCTCTATAAGCCAGGCTGATAGTGTAGCTTCTCTTGAAGCTACTCAGGCCTCGTGTGTTGTAGGAGCTGTTCCTGTGAGGGGGACCTATGCGCGTGTTGTACATCTACCCAAGAAAGAGGACAGAGGCAGAATGAGACTAGGGTGTGTACACAGTAGGTGGGATGAGTGACAGAGAGGGGAGTGAGAGTGCTTTGACAGTGTCTGAGGGCTTGGAGTGCAGGAAAGAGGCTGCAGAGCACAGAGTTTGGCCCCAGTCTGTGCCCGTTGTCTCCAACTCTTTGGATTTCAGCGCCCTGCCGAAGCCTCCGTTCCCCGCCATCTGAGGCTCTTGGTGCTGTGTTCTTGGAAAGTACATGCTGGAGGGCGGGCGCAGAGTAAAGTCCGCAAGCCCGATGATTGAGCCTTGGCCCCTAAAAGCTCAACTCGTGAGGTATTCATGTTTGAAAGATGCCCAAGGGAACTTGAGGAGGAGCAGAACAGTAGCATACCTAACAGCTTGCTGAATCCTGCAGGGCACATAGTGCAAGACTACAGGGCTGTATTGCGTTGGTGTCGCGTGCCATTGTCGTGTTCGGGACATGACGGGAGGCATGTATGAATAAAGTATATGAAGGAGTGAGTGTCAGTATGTACTTACCTAGGTAATTACAGCTATGGACGAATTATAGGTATGACATACGTTGCTAGAAGAGGACAAAATGGACGCTGGCTGCCCGCCAACCGCGCCTGTGGTAGCTGTCAACGTGAGTAAAGTAGCACAGTAGGTAGTCAAGTGTCTTTCTTTCGCGACGCTTGCAGCCCAGCAGTTCGTCCAACACGAGCCACCGAGAGTGAAAGGCCATTTAGCTGCCAGCCAGTTACTCGCCAGCTCGCTAAGGGTCTAAAGTTTCTGTTAGCTTGCGCCATGAGCCAACGCGTGGGACGCCAGAAGCGACAGGACGTCGGTTCGTGGGAGTCACGGTCATGACAGTTGGAGATACACCACGCCATCCACGCTAAATTACCGACGATTACCGTAGCTCAGTGGCGTGGCAGTGACAACTTGTTAGTGCGAGAGGGGACGACCGACAAGCTTCGCTTTACAGCGGCGCCGTGGCGGAGAGAAGGTAGGTAAATGAGGGCGGCGCAGGGCTTGACAGCGCAGAAATGGCACAGGCCGGGAAGACCCTTCCAACGTGGCTAGCGGTAAACGACGCAGATTGAGGTGTCCCCGCGTCTCACACGTCCCTTCTTTTTCTTTTCCGTTTCTCAGTTGATTAGGTAGTAGCTGAGGTAGGTAATTGAGGCACTCTTTCATAAAGTAGGAGTACGAGTGAGCAATGAGCTTTCAGGCCGCGAACAGAAGGCGGGGACGCAGGCGTCATCAGCTGCAATGCATTGACTGCAGCACCTGCCCGCCCTCATTCTCCCGCATTTCATCTCACCCCTTTGGTCACTCACACCCATTTCATGTGTGTTCAGATTATCTACAGATAAAGATATGCAATCGACTGGTGATGTGTGATGGATTCAGTCGAGACATTTCACTCATCTCATACCTCTCAATCTGTACGGTCTGCATGTAAACAAATTCTCCAAGAACCTCAGCAAAAGTCATGTTGTAGGAACAATCGCGCAAAGCAAAAGACCTCAGCCAGCATTATTACTTCAATTACTGGGTACGAATACAGGTTATCCCGTCCCATCCCTCGTTCTCTCCGCGGGTCCCCGTCCGTCCCAGTTCCTCCCCGGTCACGACTCACCCCCAATCCTCTCTCATGCCACGCCCTCTCACTCTCACTCTCACTCGCACTCTCAGTGAAAAAGGCTTGAAGCTACGGAGTACTTACTGCGTACAGATAGATACGTACAGACGCCCAACACCTGGAGTACATGCCCGTTGTACCCACGGTAACCTTACCACGCCTTCCACGCCTTCCCCCCTCCAATCCCGCATCCTAATCGTCACCCCCCGTCCCATTTCCCGTGCCTTGGTCACTTCATCGTCCTCCCGTCCTGCTGGCTGTACCCAGTCACCACCTCATTCCACCTTGCCTCAAGTTCTACCCGTCGCTGTCGCTGTCTCTATTGCTTGTTGCTGGCTACAGTTCCTGTTGGCACTGTTCTTCAATCTGTACGGATACAGCCACTGCAGCATTGCTGTGGACAACCCTCCCATATCTCTCGCCCACTTCTGCTACATACCTAGACTACGGCCCAGACTCGCCTTGTCTTCGTCACATCATCAGTCATCCGTTGCTTCTACTTTGCATTTGATATTCCCCTCAAAGCCAGAAAAGCTTCGTCATCCGCGACGTGCTTTGCGACCACTCAGCGTATCCTCTGCGAACCGTAACTCCAATCATCCTCACTCACCCACTTATCGTCGTCCTGCGACTCTGCGGCTACCTACAAAGTTGTACCTCGTCGACTTCTGGGGTGGTATTTTTTCTCGACCAATACCATTCTCGCTTCCCCCGACCGCTTTCTTCCGCTTGGCAGGCCTGTGACTTATTCGGCCCCAAAGTCACCAATTGCTACAAGTGGCCTGGCCCCAAATCTACTACTACTACTACTCCTCCTCGCATCCCGTCGACCGAGTTGAGTTTTGCCTCGACTTTCGAGCCCGCGACCGCACAATTTTGCGGCGAGCCACCAACCATCACCGACATCGCACCGTCTCCCGTCCGTCACCGACATCGCCAACTCTCCAGCAGCGCCGTCGCTCCCCCTGCTGCCATCATTGCGGAGCCCTCGACCCCCTGCCGGCGGTGAACCCGCACCCGTTCCCCGTCGACGCGACCGACCCCATCGCCCGACTTCGACATCCACCGCCGTCCTCGACGACGACACACGACCTCATCTTCGAAGCCCAACATGCCGACTCCATCTTCCAACCCTCCTCCCGACCCTCATTCGCCCCGATCACACAGTTTCTCGACATGCCCTGAAGATAGCAGCTCAAGATCTCCACAACGCAGCTGGCGGCCGCCCACCAATGCAAGTCAGGCGCCTCCCGAGATGGATCCCCATCACGACGACCCCATGGACGACGACTCGTCACTCGCCCCCGTCAGCGCTCCAATGTCACAAGCCGAGGGCATGAGCACAGAGGTCATACTCGATGATGAGCCCACATCCGCCGTCTCGTCCTCAAGATCCACCACCATGTCGCCGAGACCGCAGTCGGGTGACACCGCCAACTCGTCACCGGCGGCCGATATGGAGTCTTTCAAGCATGCCGAGTCTGACGAAGAGGCACACACGGCCGGTAACAGGCTGAGGACGTCCCGGCCGGACGGCGCGAGGCGGCACGACCCAAGGCTATCGCCGACTTCGGTACAACACGAAGACAACAAGGGCATGGAACTTGATGTCGACGATGTGTGGGAAGAGGAGCTCATGGCGCCCTCCATGGGCTCTGACTTTTCCAACATGCGGGTACGTGCCTAAATGATGCGGACTAGCGCGCCAGTGACTAACAAAACGCCTCGGCAGATTATTCCATCAACGGCATCTTCATATCTTCGCCCAGGAAGCAAGTTCCACGGAACGCAACAATCCGAACGACAGGTATATGATGTGCAGGTTGAAATCAAGCACGTCGATCTTCGGGAGTCGTTTTTATGCGGCTACCTGCGAATCCAAGGTACGAAACAACTAGCTTCCCCGCTCATCGTGTTACCCGTTGCTAAACTCTATGTCTGTAGGCCTCACCGAGGACCACCCCACATTGACGACATACTTTGAGGGCGAAATCATTGGCACCAAATACAGCTTCATCACCGGACACGAGAGCTGGGGCGCCACCGACAAGATCGATCTCAGCCATTGGGGCAAGTTCAACGCCTTCCGCCCTCTCCAGAAGCAGGCGCGCAAAGGCCCGGTGGTGATCCGTGATGTTGCGCAAAGGGAGAACATTTTTATGCGTTGGAAGGAGCATTTCCTCGTCCCTGACCACCGCGTACGCACGATTTCCGGAGCCAGCTTTGAGGGCTTCTACTACATCTGCTTCAACCAGGTCAAGGGTGAAGTGAGTGGAATCTACTTCCACTCGAAAAGCGAAAAGTATGTGCCGACTGTACCCTCCAACGAGCTTTTTGAATTCGTCTTTTAGGTAGCTAACAGTTTTTGCTAGGTTTCAGCAGCTTGAGCTCAAGCACGTGGAGGATAGGGGCTGCTTCGGCGCCATGGAATTCAGATGAGATCAGACACCAGATCAGGGAAGGTAGGGAAGAGGGAGATGGGAAAGGGTGCAGGAGGCACGAGCGCGACGCCCAACTCTATCCGGTGTGTGCGTGTGCGCGCGCGCCTGCAGACTGCGGGAGTGCGTCTGGCTGGACGCACGCCTGTCTTATTCTTGTTTTTTTTTTTTTTTTTGCAAATGATATCAAATGACGATGCCATGGTACGCCTTGGGTATGAGTATGGATATATTCCAAGTCCAAGCGATTTAAGGGAGGGAGGGGATTACGACACGTACAGGAGAAAGAGAAACGCATAGTATTATCATTATTATTTCTTATCGGGCAAACGGTCATGGCATCATCAAAGAAGGGGGCTGGGTATTTGCTGTACTTGTCTCTTTTTTTTTCTTGGTTTCTTCTTCTATCAGGCTTCTTCTTTTTCAAACTTTGTGAAGTAACCCCTTCGGAAGGGGTTCAACTCATCTGCTGTTGTTCCTGCTACGAATGTGCGCTTGTAGGCCGCCAGCCTTTCCGGGTCTACCTGGCTGTCGGGGATGCGCCGGTATGTGATGAGTCGACGGGACCCTGGTTGGGAGTAAGCGTGACTGTTGTAGCCTGGATAGGGGCAGTGATTCTGGATGGAGGGATGGAGTTCGGGTCGGCAGATATTTAATGATGGAAATTACTCACATTTGTTGAATGGTTGTACGCATGTGACGACGATGTCGAGGCGTGGGTGTTGCGGTGTAGGGATCTCCTGGTCCTCGTCGTTGGCGGTTGGCATCCAGAAGGAGAGGCGGCCGCCGTCGACGAGGGTCTCGGAGGCGAACTCGAGGATGTCGTCGAGCATGGCGAGGAAGCTGTACGGCTTCTTGGGGGCGATGAAGTCTCCCGACCTGGTGTTGTCAGCATTCTTGGTTTCTCGTCCATCATGGCAAGATTGAGAAGGGTGGAAGAAGACAAAACTGAGGAAAAGGGGTCACCCACTTATACCGCTGCTTCCCAGCCTCAACAACCCACGGCGTCTTCTCCGGATCCCGGCATCCCAAGACCCTCAACCCCTCTCTCACACCATACGGCGGATCACACACGATACCATCAAGCCACCTCACCCTCCGTACCGGCGTATTCGTCAAATCTGCCGTCCAAAACTCGCCAATACGCTCTGAAAGCCCATACTGCGCAAAGTTCCCCTTGACGCTCCTCTCCCCTCCACTCCCGCGGATCGCCCGCCCATCAATATCGCTCCCGAACCCGAGCGCCCCGAAATGCGCACACGCAACGGGGAACGAGCCCGTCCCGACAAACGGGTCGTAAAACAGTTTTCCAGGCGCCGCGTGCGCGAGGTTCGCTGTTACCAGCGCGAGCTCCGAGTCCATTGACGTCGTACTAATGTACCCCCGTTTCTTGAGGTCATACTTCAGCGACAGAGAGCGTGCTCCCGTGGCGAGGAAGCGGGCTAGGTGGACGCGTTTGGGCCCCTCTGTGCCGCGGAGGTCCCAGTCTTCGAAAATTGTGAGGTGCAGCTCTGGGGTTTTGAGGTCGATTGTGCCTTGGAGGGGGAGGTATTTGTAGCCGTTTATGAGGGAGACGAAGGAGGCGTGGGGGCGGGAGGATTGGTATGTGTCGAGGGAGAATTTGAAGGTCGAGGAGCTGACGGCGGACCAGTCGAAGGTTGTTGATGATGGGGAGGCGAGTTGGGATTTGAGGATGGGGTGGATGGCATCGTGGGTTGGGGCTGAGGCGAGGAGGAGGTGGATGGATTGGGTTAGGAGGGAGCGGGCTACGAGGCGGGGGGCGAGGTCGATTGAGGGGAGGGTGATGATGCAGAAGGGGGACTGGATGGTGTTAGCTGTTGTTTGTGAGATTCTAGGTGAGGCAGAGTTGAGAGGATTTGGGATCTTGTGATCTTGGTGGTGAGAGTCTCATCAGGGGTAGATGAGTGTGAAAGAGGCCATGTGTGGTAAGTTGAGAGAGGGGGCCAGCTCAAGCAAACGAGACACATGATGAGCATATGCAGAATATACGATTACACACCAAGAATCCTCCTTCGTATGAGCCAAAAGATTTGTTGTAAAATAAGAAAAGGGAAAATGCAGTGAGGTTCTCATGTATGTAAAGAAAGACGGCCATTTGCAAGACTCACATCTAGACTGTACTCGATGACCTTCATGTCGATGCCCTCTAAATCGGCGAGGGCTTGCAGCTCTGGTAGCCGAAAGGACTCGTGGGCCTGGGAGAAGCGGACGAGAAACTCCATTATGAAGATGGCTGGAGAATTCCTGGTGGTGATCTCATCAAGGGTGGTTTGCCGTTCCTCTCTGTCATGAGACTCAGGTCGACTCGGGTGAGTGAGGAGGGGCAGCCCGTTGGAAAATCCTGGCGCAAGCGCGGGGTGGAAAAATGCCCCTCGTTTTTTTTGGTTCTCTTGCGCTCAGATGAGCTGTGTTCGGACTATCCTTAGTATTAGCACGAGTAAGACTCGGGGCAAGGATAGACAGAGGTCTCATTACTCACAGATCTGAAAGGCCTTGAATTACCCTGTAGTTATGTCAAGAGTTCCCTTTTTTTTCTGGTGCTGTTTGGAAGAAACGTTTGCGCAGTGCCTCTCATCCCGCTGACTCGGAAAGATGGTATTTTCTGAGCGCAGAGTCACCCGGATACACACACGCCCTTGTAAACCAATCATCAGCGACCAGGGACGCTATAAGTGGATCTTGAGTGTACTCCATCGACGCCTATCGTGGACACAAGAAGACCGCTCCAATATGCAATTCTCGAATCCGCGGTCAAGCTCTCGTCTCGCTCACTCACTATCACGGCCAACTTACACGCCTTGGAAATCGTGTTTGGTCCCAACTTTCAACGTCAATCAACGAAACTTGACGAACTTGCTATTGGTACTTCTGCGAAGAAAATGCTCTCATTCCCGACGCCTAGCGTCTACCAGTCGCCAAAATGCTTCGTCACATACGGCACCATGCCTCACATTGAGCCCAAGCAGCTGCCGACAAAGGGGAAGCCGTGGGCGCCTATCCTGGGCCAGGGATTCAACTACAAGGTTTGTCTTGCTAAGCTGTGCGAAACCGAAACACGGCATACCAACTTACTATCCAGACCTTTAACTGATATTGCAAAAGGTCGACCTCGTCCTACCACAGGAGTGCTTTGAGCTAGTCCGCCAAAAGCTCGTCGAGGAGCTCCCAGCACCGACGTTCCACCGTGTCATCATGACTCTCGGCCAGGCTCTGGACGGCGGGTTCTTTAATGAGTACATCAAGAGAGGTATTCATAGTCTCCCCGCAGAAAATGACGGCGCATGGGTACTGATTTTATGTAGGCAACATCCTCATGCTCTCCGAGGGCAGGACAAACGTCGAAAACGTCTTTTCACTTCGCGAAGGTCTGTTGACCATGTACCTCGACAAGGAGACGTACGAGCGTGCTGGTCTGGTTGGAAAGCCTCACGGCGTCAAGGGGAAGAGGGGCTTGAAGCCGCGATGGGGTGAGCAAGATCATCATTTCACACTACAGCTTGTCACTTTCCGAAACTAACCCCCTTCAAGTTGTGAGCTACCAGTTGCGAGACCCAGCCATGTTTCCAGGTAAAAAGGGGTTCGACAGATTGGTGTACGCTTGTAAGAATGTTCTTAACACGCCCGTGACGTGGTTATTCTGCAACGCGGCGACAACCAGTGAGCTATTCGCCCAAGCTTATCCTGTCTCTTGTACCTACTCTGACATAATCTCTTCTCAGCACCATCCCCAGATCCGCTGGACCAGTATTTCCCAACAAGATACACGTGCGAGCCCTCCCTCGCGCCCGATCTCCAGGTCCAGGTCCCACCGCTGTCACTCCCACTTGATATCATCCAAAATGGCGACAGGCCGGACCTCGAAGACTTTGCGACAGAGACGTACGAGTGGCTATCCCTCATCCGTCTGCAGAGCCCCCGCGTCAAGGAAGGGGACGTCATCGACCCATATCTATCGCGCTACCAGGTCCCTGGTGACTCGGACACGCCGTCACACGCAAAGGTGTGCAAGATCTCATGGCAAGGCTTCTTCACCTCGCACTGGGTGCGCAGCGTCCTCATCAACGCCCTTGGTGCCATGCCGTCACGAACCTGGTTCTCGCTAAGCGCGACGTGCTTTTCAAAGGGCATGACGGGCGACAGCACCGAAGTCGCATTCTTCCGGCCGCCCGAATCGCCTGGCCATTATCTCTTTTGGGAAATCAAAGGTGATGAATAGCCAGTTACTAAAAACACAGAATGTTTTTCTTCTCTTTTACTTCTTTTAACCCTGCTTCTGACGCACACTGCGCTCATCGCCGAGGTCCTGGCCGAGAACGGCATCCTCGACGAGGCGGCGCAGCTCGGCTTGGCCCGTGGCGGTGTGGAAGTCCTCCCTCTCGGCCAACTGCTCTATCCGGCGCTTGAACTCGGGGTCGACCTCGGCGGGGACTTCCTCAGCTTGGTCCATGGTGCCGAGTGTCACGGCGAGACCTTCGGGGACGGGCGGCATGTCGATGGGCGGGGCAGCGGTATCGGTGGCGGTATCGGTGGCGGTGGTGGTAGAAGTAGGAGCGGAAGCCTTAGCAGCAGCGGCGGCAGAGGCGGTTCTCTGTGTCTCGATGCCCTGCAGGTACTCGGCAATCTCCGGGTAGTCTCCCTCACCCTCAATTTTTTGGCTGGCAGTGATGCCGTCGGCGCCCTTGGCGTTGATATCGGCGCCAAGCTCTTCGACCAGGCACTTTGCAGCAGCAACGGTCTCGACGACAAAGAGCGCAGTCTCTTCGTCTTCGTCCTTGATGTCGACGTTGACGTTGAATTCGCGAATCAAGGCGCGGAGGAGCTCGAGGTGGTTGTAGCTCGCGGCGGCGTGGACGAGGGAGTAGCCGTGCTCATCCTGGCCGGAGGCGATGGCGGGGTTCTCGCGGAGGAGGGTGAGCAGGGCGTCCGGGTTGTCGGCGGCTAAGAGGTAGGGATTGGGAGCCATGGTTGGTTTGATCGGAGGAATTAGCTTGGAAACAAATATTAGGAGTGAGACTCTCGGGTCGGGAAGTTTGAGGCCAAATTAGTTTTCATCCAACAATGTTGCTGTGTTTGCTTGTTGGAAATTTTCTGCCGGATGAGGGGAGCTCCCGGCGTGACGCACACAATGGAAAGTTCATTAACCCCTCCAAAGATGGCCCTTACCGCCTACCTAGACTGGATAAGGTAATCTGCAGTGGTGGTGGGGGTTGGAGGCCCTGGGACTGTGGCCCTTTGGGAGCTGTGCTGTGCCCCTCCAAGCCCCAGTGGCCCCCCGAAAGAATCCCACGACGTTGGTGGCAGTGGCGCTTATCCATCGCGCCTGCCCAATGGACCACCGCACCCCAATGTGGAAAGCGCAAGGCACACCAGGTAATCTAAGGAAGGCACAAACCACCACGCCATTTCCCGTCAATTGGCCTCCTCCCCCCGGCGTGACTACCGACGACATCTGAGAGTTGAACTTGCACTGCTTTGAGGACTCTGTTTCTCTACTTCTTCCTCTCTTGATTTCACACCCTGTCTGTCAAGGTGTAGCCACACGCCAATATTTTGAGCTGAGGCCGCTTGATCGAGACCCCAACTTGGAACCTTTCTCTCGTCTGTTTCCCAAACGAGGCAGTATCAGTGACTCACCTCCTGTACTGCGTTTGCTGCGGTCTGTACTTGACCTAAGGTACCTCAGCCTTCACCGTTTCACCGATCTCAAGGTTGGTAGTCAAGAATTAGGCTTACATCCTATTCTCAAGTACTACAAAACAAACAAATATCTCGCCCTTCAAGGACGGATGATCAATTGAGATCACTTTCACACAACTTATCTCTTCTCCTCTCACAAGGCAGAAAGGGACAACACAAGCATCGTTCTTCGTCTTTTCCATGTTCATCGCCCGAAGGGCACTTTTCTTCGCTTCTAGACAATCTCCCCTCAATTTCAACAAATCCTTTACCACAACAATGGCGACAGCAAACGCCATGGATGCCGAGGCAGTCATGCCCAAGGTCCCATATGTTGCCCAGGACGCCGGAAAGGTCTCAGAGATGGTTCACGCCCTGAACGACGCAAAGGCCTACAATAAGTTCGCAAAGTCAAAGGGCGGCGGCTTCTCCTGCAAGAAGACATCTTTCGACGCCAAGAACTCCCAGGACGGTGTCACCGTCGACTCCTGGAAGATGCAGGAATGGGACTACAAGAAGAGAGGCCTACCCACATACGCCAGAGGACTCTTCACAGCAAGGAATCGCCGAAACGAGCATGAGATCGTGACGAGGGGTTACGACAAGTTCTTCAATGTCGGCGAGGTCAATGAGACAAAGTGGGAAAACATCATCCCGAGGACAAAGGGCCCCTATGAGCTCACCCTCAAGGAGAACGGCTGCATCATCTTCATTTCCGGCTTGGAGGATGGTACGCTGCTGGTATGCAGCAAGCACTCCACAGGTGATAGGGCCGACGCCGAGCTTAGCCATGCTACTGCTGGAGAGCGCATGATTGAGAAGCAGCTCGCTGCCCTGGGAAAGACGAAGGAGGACTTGGCCAGGGAACTTCGGGACCGGAATGCCACTGCTGTGGCCGAGCTCTGTGACGACTCCTTTGAGGAGCACATCCTCGAGTACGGCCCGGACAAGGCCGGCCTCTACATCCACGGCATCAACTTGAACCTCCCCGAGTTCGCAACCTACCCAAGCGCCCTCGTTCAGAGTTTCGGCAACGACTGGGGCTTCAAGAATGTCGGCTTGATTGTCATGGACGACGTCAACGAGGTCAAGAAATTCCTCGAGGAGGTGGCAGAGACGGGCGCATACGGTGACCGCGACGTTGAGGGCTTCGTCATCCGCTGCAAGGAGAGTTACAACCCGGACTCCGTCCCCTACCGCGACTGGTTCTTCAAGTACAAGTTTGAGGAGCCCTACCTTATGTACCGCCAGTGGCGCGAGTGCACAAAAGCAATGATCTCCGGAAAGCCGCCCCGCTACAAGAAGCACATCAAGATCACCGAGGAGTACCTTCTCTACGCCCGCCGGCGCCTTCAGGCCGACCCCAAGCTCGCCCAGCTCTATCAGCAGAACCACGGCATCATCGCTCTGCGCAACGACTTCCTCGCCTACAAGAACATGAAGGGCTCCGACGCTGCTAACCTCGAGCTCGAGGATGGGCCCAACAATGTCAACGCAGACGTAACGGGAGACGTGATCCTGTGCCCCATTGCCACCATCGGCTGCGGCAAAACTACCATCGCCGTCGCACTTCAGCAGCTATTCAACTGGGGCCACGTACAGAATGATAACATCTCAGGCAAGGGCCGGCCGCCTCGCTTCACAAAGGCCATCCTCGACCTCCTTAAAGACCACCCCGTCGTCATCGGCGACCGCAACAACGCTCAGAAGCATGAGCGCAGGCAAATCATTACCGACGTGAAGGTCCAGCACCAGACGGCCCGCCTTGTGGCTCTCTATTTCGCCCATGACAACTCCAACGTCGACGAGGTCAGGCGCATCACCCAGGAGCGTGTCATTGCCCGCGGCGATAACCACCAGACCATTCATGCTGCCACAGACGCGTCAAAGTTCCTCGGCGTCATGGAAGGCTTCATCAGCCGCTTCGAGCCCCTGGCCGCCTTCTCTCCACCCGACGACGGTTTCGACAACGTCATCAACCTCGACCCCACCGCTGGCAGCCGCGAGAACCTCGAAAAGGTCATCACCGAGCTGCACCGCATGTACCCCAACCTCGTCCCCGAGGTCCCCTCCGCCGATCAACTGGACAAGGCCATCCAGTCCGCCTTTATCGAATATAAGCCCGAGTTCAAGCACAATATCCCTGACCGCGGTCCCCGCAAGGACAAGCAGGGCCAGGGCCAGGGCCAGCAGAGTGGTCCCAAGTCGAAGAAGAAGAAGCCGCTCGAGTACATGTCCGTCGAGGTGCAGTCCCAAGAAGTCCGCGGCGTCCTCGACGGCGCCTTCAACAAGGTCGACGCCTCCACCTCCCGCTTCTACAAGCAGCTCCACCAGACCCGCCGGGTCCAGCCCAAATTCCACGTCACGCTCATGCACCGCGCCAGTTCAAAGGACAACGCGGAGCTGTGGTCAAAGTACCTCGCCCTATTCGCCGAGGCGGAAAAGGAGAATGGTACCCAGGACCAGGCCAACATCCGTCCCTTGGGCGAGTGCGCCGTCGAGCTCGAGCGGGTAAGTAGAGACCTTTCTGATCCTTTATCTACAGACTGACTGACTCTCTCTCAATAGGTTGTCTTTGATGACCGCATCATGGCCATGGTCGTCCGTCTAGTCGACCCAACAGGCCAGTGGAAGTGCACAAACAACGTCGCCCACATCACCGTCGGCACCCGCGACGACGCCGTCAAGCCAAAGGAGAGCAACGACCTCCTCGCCCGCTGGCTGGACAAGGGCACCGGCGACGAGACAGGGATTCAGGAAGTTGTCTTCGATAATAAGCCCAACCTGGAAGGAATCGTCCGGGGCGTTCTCTCAAGGTAACATGGATATGGCAACGTTGGGAGGTGAGATTTGGTGACTTAGTGGGAGATCGCATTGAGAAGAGGCGTACCCAAAAAGAAAGGGTAAATGGAGAGAATTCGTGAGAAGTGCTTTTAAATACCAAAAGTTTTAGTTTTGAAAGCTAGTTGAGGACGACATCGTGGATAGTCCTTATTTAGACCAACTCCCTTTTGAGGTTCACTTGGACAGGCTATTTCAGTACCAGGTGATGTGTTATGCGATTGAGCATCAAACGACGTGTGCTGAATGCCAGTGTCCAATTCTGAAGCGGAGAAGGACTAAGACAGCAGTAGCCATCAAAACGACTCAGCCAAAGTAGGGCATGCCAAATTCAAGAGGCCACGATGTTTTTAGGACCATCAATTATCAGAGTGACGGCGCAACAGCATTGTCGTGATGGGTAGATCATGTGGTCACATTGGAATCTGATATCATTGCACTTTGAATGCTTAATTTCATGGCTCATCCCTAAATGAATAGTGTACAGTCCTAACCCAAGGGCGAGACTTGATAAACGTGCGACGTTGATCATCCTCGTAACCCTGGGCTTGAAGGTATCCCCTCCAAACCATGGTAATCCCCAAACCAAAGTCGTTAATAAAGCAAGCCGAAAACCCAAATTTTGTCATCCGTCATCAGTGTGACTTATGTGAGTCACTAACACCATCGTACGAGATGGGTATCAATTAGAAAGTGTGAAGAGCATTTACAGCTCCTGCTTAACCTTGTCCTTGGACTCGGCTGCCTTCTTCTGGGCAGCGTCAGCACCAAGACCGATCTGGTTGGAAACCCAGTTCCAGGTGTCCTTGACGTTCTCTGCGACCTTAGCGAAGAGAGTCTCGGAAGGAGTTGAGGTACCGTACTTGAAGTACGTGTACTGCTTGCGGGCGTAGGCGCGGAGCTCATTGACAGTGGAGCCCTGAGGAACGTTGACACCGTAGCTGTCAAGGTAGCTCTTGAGCTCGCTCTCGCTCCACGTGTCAAAGAAGTTGGACTTGACCGCATCGGTGGCCTGGGACAGGTAGCTGGTGACGGAGGCGTAGGAAGTACCGCCGGCAGAGGAGGCGGAGCTGTAAGCAGACTGAGCAGCGTTGACAAGCTCATCGCGAGTGGCGTCCTTCTTGTCGGCAACGTTCTTGACAGCAGCATCACTGCTGGAGGCAAGGTACTTGCGGAGGTTCTCGGTGGAGAGATCATCGTAGGTCCAGGCGCTCCAGCCAGTGGCAGCCTTGTGCTGGTTCTTGCGAACAAGGGCACGGAGCTCATCGGTCTTGGATCCCTGGGGAACGGGAACGCCACGGGAGCCGAGGTAACCCTTAAGACGGCTCTCAGACCAAGTGCCAACAGCCTCGTTGAAGGCCTCAGTAGCAGCGTTGGAGGCAGCATCGGTAGCCTTGGCAGCAGCCTGGTTGACGTTGGAGGTTGCAGCACCGAAAGCACTGTTGGCCTTGCCAGCAATGTTGGAGTTGAGGAAGTCAGCACGGTGCTTGCGGACAAGAGCTCTCAGTTCATTGGCCTTGGTGCCTTGGGGAACAGGGATGCCGTTCTTGTCGGCAAACTCCTTGAGCTGAGACTCGCTCCAGGCGTCAATAACCATGTCGGTGAGAGTGGCATAGGCCTGCTGAGCAGAAGCGGAAGCGCTAGCGGCCTGTTCCTGAGCCTTGAGAGAAGCAAGACGGGAGTTGCGGCGGACAGAGGCGATCAGCTTGTCACGCTGTGTACGAGTTAGCAAATGTACTGCAATGGGATTTAGGCTGCACTCACGCTGGTAACCTGGGGAGCGGGGAATCCATGAGTATCAAGCCACTCCTTGAAGTCAGACTCTGCAAACAAGGTTAGCATTGACAAAGCAGTAGAGAGAGCACCAATACATACCGGACCAGGTCTCATACAGCCAGTTACCAGGGTAGGAGGCGGTCTCTCCAGCCTTCTGGGCAATGGTCTCGTAGTTGGCGCGAGCCTTCTGAAGGACGCTGTCGCGGTTGCGGGGCTGGGGGACTAGAATGATGTCAGTCTCAGAAACTTGTGATACCAAATTTGCTGTGAACATACCGGGAACGCCGTGCTTGTCAGCAAAGGCCTTGAGCTGGCTGTCGGTCCAGCTGTCCAAGATCCAGTCCTTGACGTTGAGGTAGGCGTTCTGAGCCTGGTCGCTCGTCTCGTACCAGGAGCTCTGAACCTGGGCGACGAGAGACTCTTTGTTGGCCTTGGCGGCGCCCTCGGTCTCGAGACCCTTGGCCTTCAGGTAGTTTTGGAGACGGTCGGTATCCCACGAGTTGTAAGGGGAGACAACGTAGTCGTTCCAGTTGTTCTCGATCAACTTCTCGAGATCCTTGCGGTCGGCGGGAGTAGGGTAGGGGATGTCATGGTCGGACAGCCAGCGCTCAAGCTCCGTCTCGTGCCACTTATTGTAGGCTGCGAGTAATATTTGTCAGTTTCATAAATAAATCAAGACTGTGATGAATGCTAAATATGACGTACCAGCCTTGGAGAACCAAGAGCTCGCGATGGCGCCCTGGGCAGCCAGAGCCGTCAGGACGGCGGGGAGGAAACGCATGATGTTGGTTTGCGATCAGTCTTCCAATGAAGAGCCAGAGATGGGGGTATCACGAAAAAAAGAGGCTCGGAAAGAACTGAGAAGGTGAGGAAATCGCAGAGATGTTGATGTAGAGAGGAAGAAACAGAAAGGTTAAGCTCGGGGAAGAGGCTACCAAGGGTGTAGGTGGTTTTTGTTGTGTCGACGGGAGGCGGGATGGCAAGCTACGTGCGTGTGCAGGGGGGCAGACGTAGGTAGACGCAATGTGGACGGGGAACCTAGATGAATGTGGAGGTGCATGTGCAGGCAATAGGCGGGCAAGTTGACGACAGGGAGGAGATGGGAGGCGTACAGACTACGGAGCACAAGAGAGGAAGGGGCCTTGGAGTCAACCAAAGGAAGGCAAGCGTCAAGCTTCAAGCGTGAATCGTCACCCAATGGACCGCGGATGATCTAATTCACGGCAGGAATCCATCACGTCACTGCGGTGCGATTTGGGGGAAATTGTGGCTGCATTTGTGACCTTGGGCGCCTTGGGTGCCTTGCCCGTGGATGCATCTCATCTCTCTCGTCTCGTTGCTGCGGTGGCCATGACATTCGAGGCCTTGAGGATGTAGGAAAGAGCGGATGGTTGTACATAAGGTACGTATGTAGTACGTATTTCCCACCTCTTGCCTTTGGTGCCTTCCTGGGTAAGGTGCATTGCCATACATATAACTCGCACCTGCCTGGCTCGAGAAATACTTGCCGCGGTGAAAGGAGTGACGAGCGAGGGGCTCCTGCTCTTTCGTGCCTACATTTAGGTAGTGCACCTGCCCAAGTCTTCCCTTGCCTTGCTATTCAATTTGTTTGGAGACAACAGGTCAGACGTTGAGACACTCAAACCAAACAAAGAAGGAAGAGACGTATCGTATCCATACATGACGCGCCCAAGCTCCCTCAGGCAACTGAGCATCACCTACCTACATTGTGGGCCAACACAGTACTGCGTAGGTCGACAGCCAGACAGTCAGGGCAGTCACGTCAATTCAATGCAATAGCACCGGCTCCGACAGGCCACATGCCACGATGATGTGCTCCAGAGACGATGCGGGAAAGAGCAACAAAAAAAGCTCTCCCCTCATCAGCCATTCAGAGAGCTCCGTGAAGCTCATCTCTGTCCAGCATGACGTAGCTACCCCCCTGTCTAGTGGATTTCCTATAGGTACGCGGTGCGGTGCGGGTTCGCTGCGGTGTCCGGGCTGTTTGGCGCTGCTTGGCTGGGCGGTACGTACCTGGTGCAACGTGCATAGCGCTGAACATTAAGGTTGCAGGTCAGTTTGGAGCCAGGACGGTGAAACCATTACTTTGATGGGAATTATGGGGGACATGTTTATGCCATTCATGCCATCAGACTGAGATATTTGAATTGTAGTTTGGGATTAAAGACTCAGGACGGCTTCATTTTCGTGTTCATATTAGCTTGTTTGTAGACCGATACCCAACACTTTTCATGTAAGGTAGACGCAGCTTGGGGCAAGGAAAGGTGAGGTGCACCTACCTGCGTCATTCTTAGCTCCGGCGGGAAGCTGCGAGCTCTGTCTTACTCCCTGCCTGCCCAATGGCTCTTGCCCAGGACCAATTGCTCCGGTGATGTCACTCTGAGCTAACCCCACGGTCACCACAACCAACGATGGGGTTTTGGAGAGTGAAAAATCAGCCACTTCTCCGCACCGCCACCAGCTGTCACCACAAGTTCTTTCCTCATCGTGATCCTTGGCAATGACCTACAGCCTTCGGAGTACAGGTAGGTAGGCTGCAAGGTGGTCGTGCTTGCCCATGGTGCTTCCCTTTCGATGATGGGACGGATGGGGCCGGGGAATGGGGAAATCGCCGCCAGCTGGCGGTCAGTGCTCTCCCACACCGGAAACTCACATGCTTCACCGAGAACTGCCAGACCGACAAAAGGCCTGGACCGGTCCATCAGCGTCATTGCCCCGACCCCCTTTCCCTGCTGGCGCGATTGCGGACTGGCCCTTTCTGACAGCTGCTTCGTCTCTGCACCTCCCCCAGATGTCGAGATAAGATCACATTGTCTGTCTAGAGATCGTGCTCGGCGTTCCCTGGTGAGTATGCGTGTTTGCAGTGTCAGTTGACGTGTAGACCTTGAGATCTATGTCTTGAGCTATTCATCTCATTCATCTAAGGCAGAAGTCCCTATGGTAGTGGGCCCATCAATAGCTTGCCTGCGAAAGGATCTTTAGTCGAATAATGATGGACGCGAACTTTGTGTGCTTGTAAAGTCAGTTTATGTGTAGACTCTCCTTGACTTGAGGCCTGCGTTTCAAGCCATGAATTTTGTCGATGTCAGCCAGTAATTCTCTTCGCAGCGATCTTACCTACTTAGTGGCTTCTCGTCCGCAAGATCTTGAGTCTGAATATAGAAACAATATGAGCAATTTCGAACTCCTTACTGGTGAAGATGTTGACGAAACTCTCGAATGGCAATGAGAGACCATGGCATTCGCATCGTCCTCTGTTTGAAATGGGCGAGGAACCGTGCCGAGAAGGAGAGTGGAATATGACACTGAATATTACAAACCATACCAAAAGACCATAATCAATACTGTGGATTGGTTACCCTCTGGCATAAGCCACTTGGCCCCAAGTTGTCGTTTGTCGTAAAGCCCGTGTACTTTCACGTCGATGGCTGTAAATCGCTGACACGAGCTGTGTACCTTACACTTCAATGAGTTTACCAGCAACAGAGTTGACTGACATCAACAAAACATTCATTTCCCTAGACATAGGTGTTGTACAAGCTGTCAGAAACAGCCTATATAGCCCTCATAGACTCCAAGCCTTTTCCGCCCCTGAACCCCCAGCCGTCTTCCCGTCCCAGTGTTTATAACAATTGTTGCCCATGTATATCGAATCAAGAGTACCGTTACATCCTCCCCAACTCGTACAAAATTTCCATGGCTCCGAGTTATTTCAGCTCAGGAGCTCTCTCGTCAAATAATGAAGCATCGTCGGCTTCAAGTCCACGTCCGATATAAGGCGCTTAGTCGGTGACACCGGTGGGGGTGTTGCAGAGAACGCCCTGGTCGAGCTGTGATATTTGTCAGTGATATGATCACATTACAGAGAAGACGTAGGAGAAGACTCACAATAGGCAGGACGCAGCAGCGGGCACGCTGTCCGATTGCGGAGCAGATGGAGCTGAACTCGTCGGCCGAGGTGGGTGCCTCGGGCGGGTTGCCGCAGTCGAGGTCAGCGACGCCGAGGACGTCCGTCGCGCAGCACTGCGAGGTGCCGTAGAGGCCGGAGCAAGGGACGTAGACGGCCTGGCGCTCCTCGAGGGGTGCGGAGAGAGCGACGCCGGCGAAGAGGGCGGTGAGGGCGGTGGTGAATCTCATGATGGCGGTGGGTTGGTTTGGTGTAAGTGGGTATGTAGTAGATGGGAATAGAAGAGTGATTGTTGTAAGCTGTAGATGAGGCTTGTTGGTGTGATGGAGCTGATGAGTGGAGAGAAGGAAGATGGCATCAACGGGGACTGACGTGCTTTCTTATATAGAGATTTCAGACAAGACGTGACGACCGCAAAGACATGTACAAGACACTCGTCTTGACCTTCGTCACAGGCCTCCGGTCTCGATGACGATGTCTCTGACCAAGTTCCCCAAGCAAAGGACGCGCTTGCGCCGCCTCGACGACGGACTTCTGTCCCAATCCTTGAACAGCGTGACATCGTGATGGCCCCCTACCATCTTAGACGGGAGACAGCTATATCCCCTCCCCCTTGCGCCCCCCTTTGATTGTGGAGTGACGAAGACGGCTTGTGTCGATCTCATGTTCGATAGGGACTCCTCACTCGATAAATGTGAGGATGGGAGCTCAGGGGAGGTAGCCGGGTGTAGGGGCAAGGTAATTCTGTGGTTCGAGACGGGTGAACGGGGTATACAACCCCTATTACTGAGGATAATGGAGGTGTGAACAGGAATACTCGGATCGGTACCTGAAATCTCCAGTGGGACTCTCGAGGGCTGCCACACACATGTACTACATGTAGAGTAGGCACACACTGTTGAATCGGCTGAGGCCGCTTAGCCGTCACCTTGGCGAGCAAACAGCCGTCCTCTTCATATCATAGGCCGCCGTCGTTACCCACGGCGGAGTAAGGACTGGAGACTGGTAGGTAGGCAGCGTGTAAGTGGTCAAGAAGGCAAGCCATTGAACCACAAGCTGATAACTCTTACCAAATGACTGTCCAACCGACGTTCAGCAACGTATAGACAGCACTGGTAGTCTACAAGGAGATTTTCCTCACAAATAACGGGGATGGACGAGGTTCTCTGTCTCTCCTCAGCCTTGGGATGACGGGGATATTTTGGGAGATATCGGAGTCACCGGACGACGCTGGCACAAATCAGCATCGGCAGACTATCCCATCCCAAAACCACGACAATGGGAGACTGCCACTGTGGCACTGCGTCGTCTCTGCATCTGCAGATGCGCCCGTGAACTGTCCGCGACCCTGGTCTGCCTCTGACGCAGGGTTCTGCTGCAAGAGAGTGTGCGCCCAAAAGGTGGGTGTGCCCATCCGACCTGAACTCCACATGGGAACAACGGTCCTCGAACGGGTTTCCTTGTTTTTTTCGCCTTCCAGAATAGTCTGGGTAAACGTCCGAATAGAGAGAGATAGGAACGAAAAGGAATGTGGGGAATACTTGCTTCCATACTGCGCAGAAGCGACTACATTAGTTGATCCGTTTGGCTGATACATTTTGGTCCTATGCGTATGCCAGCGTGACATGGCGTTCAAGCCTCAAACCGAAAATGACGACGCGACGAGATATCGCTACCGAACCCCATGACTTCTTGGGCGAGCCGCCAGGGCATGAAGAACGAGGAGATGAAGACTGACGACGGTGGCCGAATCATTACCCCGAGCCTAAACCTCAACGGCAACCTGCCGTTCCAGAACGTGCCAGAGACACCAGAGAGGAGGCGTATGTGCGTGATCTATCATCTCGAACATG